CATTTGATGTATTCGTACTGAAACGATTATGTATTAAATCTTAATATTCATTTAAAAAATTGCATTATAAAAATAATATGATGGATAAAAACTGATAAGACACGTGTTTTAATCTAATGTATTGTTGAAAAAGACAATCGCTTTTAAATACACTAATATTAATCGAGACCCCTTCGCCTTTAAGGAGTAGATAAAAGTTGAAGATTAGACAGAAAACTGCCTCCAGGCCGTTGAAAGATATTTGTGGTGGTAGTTTAATTATAGGGAAAACGGTATTTCATAAAGGGAGACTGGTTTAATTCACATTTGAACAACTTTGATGGAAAAAGATACTCTAACTATGTTCTACATGCACATGACTTTTCAATTTTGCAGCATCCTGGAGCCATATTTTAATCTGACAACATACAGCCAGCCACACACGGATCATTTTACAATCGCGTTAGACTGTTAGAGGTTCTACAGCATGAAATATAAGAATTACAAGTTTGGCTTTGCAGAAAGCCTGACATGTCATCTTTTTAGCTTAATTAATGTCACAGAATGAACAGTGAAATGTAACATATTTTCTCAGCTATTACAGATTTTACTTTTCTTCTAGTCACACTGCATGAAATATACTGAAATAATGTTTAAAATCTCTTTTATCTGGAATTTATCAAAACTACAAGGTTTGGGACATGTTTTATTGACATATATTCTAGAACTTTCAAAAAGTAACCTTAATCTATAATAGTGATAACTTTTAATGACAAATACGTCCATTATCCCTATATGTCCAGTTGAAGAGTTTTTGTCTATTTTGCCCCGGTAGCCATGCTATAATTGTTTGAATTTTACTTCGCATTTCCATTTCCTTTGAATAATCATAAGAGTATAATATCAATATATAATACACATTTTAAAAAGATACGCAAATAATATATATACATGTATATAAATTGTTATGTTCCACTAAGCAGTATTTCTTAACTTTGTAAAAAAAAATCACAAGAATTAGTTGGGTAAAATCTTATCCGTCCTTTTGACCTTACATACGTTTATTTCACAGCTTCTTACTCTGACAGCAGAGTGCTTTATCGACACGATAGCACTTACATGTACGTATCTTCGAGCAATCCGATGGTTTAGGCCGATGTATTTTAAGTAGATATATAAGGCTTCATAAATCAAATGTTGTAAATGTGAGCATAGAAATGAAAGATTATATATTATTTTATATATTTCTTCCATAAATCTAAAAAAATAATTGAAAATAAGTTTCCAAGGGACAATTCAAGTAGGTCTTTATTTTCAACACAGCTGACTACTTGTAGTAGTCCACAATGCATTGCGACTCATTCATCAGTGGGTAAAGTAAACATATAGCTATATAATTTACATGCAAATTTATTCTGACGTCAGGAAATCTAATGGTCTGGACCTGTTTAAGGTAGAACCTATGTCGGAGAAGTCTTTGCCACAAGATTTTTAAACTTTTCAAAACGATAAATTAGTACCTGCTTGTCAAACAGTTATGATATGTTTCCTAGTTTTTTAAATGTAGCGCAGTCTGTGAAACTTGAAATGGTAATTTCCTACTGCGACTACACATTTTCAGTTATTCTTAGGGGTACTTGTCAAGATGATATGAAAAATCACCAAAAAAATTCTTCAAACATCGTCGTTTATAGACTTTATCAACTGAACAATATTAAGAAATGTTTCTCAAGAATAATTTTTTTTATTCAATTGAAATAAAAAAAAATATGTCCACATTTTAAAAAAATTAGCAGATGAATTTTGTTTTTACATCAAATTTTCCCATTCTATATTTGTACCGTCTACGAGTCGAATTTTTAGCGAGGATGTAATTTTGGCATTCTAGGGTGCTGACATAGCTATAATTGAATATCGCCAAAGATTAATGGCGTATTATTTTTATAGCTTCTTTAGTTAGCCTTTTAAAATCGCTAAAATTACTTCTCGCTAAAAATGAAATACCAGATTTTAGGTAAAAAAAAGAGCAAGAGCCATCTAATGCATAAAATGGCCAATTATTTAACTATCACACTCTTTCCCTTTGCATATATCAAAATAAAGTAGACACTTGGTGCTTTCATTTTCTATAATAAAATTTCGTTTTTGAGAATCCAGATATTGGAAGACAGGCTTTGAGAAATTACAATGTTCTTGAATTTTGCAGAAAACATGCGTATTTGACTACCTTCAGCAAAGAATTAAAATATGAGCACAGCCAACGATCCAAAAAATAGAACATGTGTTTTGATCTTCGGAAACAGAACTTTCATTATGTATTTGCATATTTTGGATCAGAGGTTGTGCTCTATGTGAAAATTTGAAAAAAAAAATGCTTCAATTTTAGGTATTTTCAAAGGAATTTACAGGATACGAAGAAAATGACGCATTTTATGACGTCATAATGCATTTACTAGATGGAAAATTACGTCACAATTAATAGATACGTGGTCTCCAACACTCAAAGTGATAAATACTGCATTTGGAACCTAAACTGAGCGTTTTTGATTTTTTAGAAATTTTCAGGGTCAAATAAGGCCCAAAGTGGCTCATGCTCTTTGTTAAAGAACAAAAAAAGCATTATTTCGCTAAAACGTGAAAATCCAATTTTGTGGGGAGGGGGTGGGGGCAGTAATTAACTTCCAATCCTTCTTTATACCTATGACTTTTCATACCAACTTTACCATATCCAAGGTCTTGAGGGGGGCCAAAGGTAACTTTTTACCTGCTTTAGTATATTAAATTAGTAACCTTGCAAATTCCAGGGGGACCCCCTCTTGATCCTCGCATGAAGGCGTTTTATGATAAAATCAATGAAAAATAGATGTAGGTAACCTAAAATATAGAAACATCTAGAACAGCTGTATTGATTGAATACCATACGAAAATATGTAGTTATATTTGAAAAATTTTATTTTGAGAAAAAAAACTAAGTAGTACGTAAAGAAGCGTGTTTTTGTTTTATGGAATATATGAAGGTAACATTTAAAGTGAAAGTTGAGATGTTCCATACATACCTAACCAGTAGTTTTTAGAGGCATTCCCAAATCCCACTTTGTACTCGTTCCATGTTCTATTAAAATCCACGTCGCCATCTTGTCTTTTCTGAATTGTCTGTAAACAACATGCATTCATATCTGTTTTCATAATCGTTGTTTATCTGTACTGACTGGATGATAATAATATGTTCTGTTTTTGTTTGAACACAGTTAATTAACAATTTGTCATATTTTTGTTTTGTTCAGGTAACTAAGGAGGACTGCATTCATTTTATCAAAAAGTGGAAATATACAGACGATTATTCTAATAAGCTAAGGGATTGATCGGGATCTTTTCACTAGTTGTTTTTACATTCATTTTCAAATTCGGGTCCTCACTAATAAAAGAACATTTCATTCAAAATGTGTTAATTATTTTAACGAGAGGCCTATGGGCCACATCGCTAACCTGAGTTACTTGGTTTATGCAGTTCTTTACCAAATTTATCCACTTGTTATACCTATTAGGGCCCCCTACCCCACTCTCTCTGTCGTGACTTTTATACTATAACTTCTTCACTACCAAAGGATGCTTCCACATAAGTTTCGGCTTTCCTGGCCTTGAAAAAAGGTCTTTAAAAATTTTTCACATTTCTATGTAAAATGTAGATCCCTTATTGTGGCCCAACCCTACCCCCGGGGGTCATGGTTTTAACAATTTAGATTCTAAACCATCCTACAATGCTTCCACGTACGTTTTAGTTTCCCTGGCCCTTTGGTTCTTTAGACGAAGAATATTTAATGACTCAACCCTATTTTTTTCTTTTCTTGACTATGTCACCTTTGACAAGGGGACAAGGCTGGTCCTTCATTTAACTACTTTAACTTCCCTTTACCCAAAAATGTATTGTACCAAAGGAGTATATATGATAAGAGCCAATTTTGGCCCCCTAAAAATCAACATTTTCGTATGATATTCAGATATGTTTAATTGAAATTCATTTAGTAGAAGAGATTATATTAGAAATATTTCCAATATATTTTTCACATTTATATGCACTCACAAGCTGTAAATGACAAGAGAAATAATACTATTTTTGCTATCTCACGAAAAAGGCAAAAATTTGCCTTTTTCTTGATGTTTTTTCTTATGGGAAACATAGAGCGCAGTGTAGAACATACATAATTTTTCTGTCACTAATTAGTATTGGATAGATTCATCTTTGGTATAAATATATATCTTCTTCTAGTCCACGCTCTATATTTTTTGGAAGAAAAACTGCTTGAAAATATGCAGTTTTATACAAAATATGCTAAAATGGCGGGAGAACGTGATTTTTATGATGTCATATTTCTGAAATAACGGCATTTTGAACAAAATGAAAATGACCAATAAAGGTCGCTTATATAGCTGTACAAATTAAAGCTATCTATAAAGTAAAATTAAGATATTCATTTTAAGGGGCCAATTGAGACACTTACCATATATGGCTCTTTGGTTTAAATTGGCCAAGTGGTTCTTAAGAAGTTGAAAATGTCAAAAATTTACAGAAAGACTGACGGACAGACGAACGGACAACGGACATCGGGTAATCAGAAAAGGGCACTTGAACTTTCAGCTCATGTAAGCTTAAAATTAAAACACTACTCACCGTCCACCCTCCTCCATCCGTCGTCATGTCACAGAAGACCTCTAATAGGATGCCAGGGTAAATAACATAAACACCATCTTGACCTCTTTTACTGGGGTCTCTCTTCAAAATTTCTGAACAATCCTTGTATATTTTTTCTATTCAATGTATAAAAATAAATAGAGAAAACGAACAATATTCAAGCTCAACGGTCCATTCAAACCATACAAATCATAAGAAGAGCAAACACAGACCTCTTAAACATAAGAGGTTACATTGGGTGCAAGGGAGGAGTGAGAATCCCCTGAGGACCGGTCACACCCTAAAAAAAGTTTTACTTGTTGCTTTTAAAATAAGATATTAGATTAAGAAAAACTAGTAATTATTAGTAATCCATTTAGTCAGAATAGCAAGTAAATGACTATCATTGTTAGTAATTGTAAACATAATTAGTAATAAGGATGAATTCATTTACTTATAAAATGATTTACTAAGTATCAATACTTAATAGGAATTATATTACTTAGTAAATGAACTACTCATTTTTAGTAAATCATTATTACTTAATATAGAGATAATATGCTTTCTATTTACTAGGTTTTATGAATTATTACTAAGAGAATGTAATTCTGAAAAATTAAAATTAAAACTTAAAAGAATACTAAATGAAATACTTATCATATTTACTCTGATAGCAGGATACAAAGTACCAATGAAATACTTAGTTTATTAGAAGAAATCTAAATGATGGCAACAATTTTACTTCCTTTTTCTTTTGCCAATTTCTTTGTAATTGTTTTATTATATTTAGCAATAAAACAATTAATTCCACCATCAAAAGCTTTCTAAATTGAATAATTTGTATATTTTTAAGGATCATTTTAAAAATTGTTTAAAAGTTCAAGTACTTAATACAGCATTTTAATTAGTATAACTTTTTTTACATGAAGGAATATTTAGAAGAAAGATAACTCCTCCTCACAGACAATTAATGGAAGCCAAAATATTTTACATTTCAAGAATTCAATCCTGATAGTGATTAGACTACCATATTTAAGTAATTACTGCTCTGAATTCTTCTTGATTTAGTAAATAAATTATTGTTTTAAGTAAATCAATTAAATACAATTTAAACAAGATGTGTTTGTGAAACACTGATGCCCCTATATGGCAACACACCAAAGGTTAAACTTTTCTTATATGCAAATTTAATTTATTGGTATTTCTTGATATCTCCAAGGTCAAGGTCAAAAGGTCAAAATTTTTGGTATCTAATGAAAGGTCCTGCCAAAAAAAACATATGTGAAATATGGAAACACTAGTCCCAACCCTTCAGAAGTTATGGTTACCAATTTTGAAATGTAGATCAAACTCCAAGGTCAAGGACATAGGGTCAGATTTGGTGGTACATGTACTTAAAGAAAGGTCTTGTCACAAGGATGAAATATGTAAAATATGAATGCATTAACCCTAATCCTTTTAAAGTTATAGTCAAGGGTTGCTTTTTAAAAGTGGGTCAAACTCCAAGGTTAAGGTCAAAGGGTCAAAGTTCTTGGTATCCAATGAATAATCTTTTCAAAGGAATGAAAGCACTATCCCATAGTTATGGCCAAGATTAAAGTTTTTTCATAAGGATGGAAATCCCCAAGGTCAAGGTCAAAAGGTCATAGTTGTTGGTATCCAATGAAAGTCTATTCAACAAAAAATATATATGTGAAGTATAAATGTCCTGGTATTTACTGTTCAAAATATATGGATAAAGAAAAAGTTTGGATTTTTTGTGTAAAAGTGAGTCAAACTTCAAGGTCAAGGTCAAATTTGGCGATACTCAAAGATAAGTCTTGTCAAAAGAAATGGACATGTGAAATATGAAAGTCATAGCTTCGCTAAATCCAAAGTTATGGACAAGGTTAATGTTTTTGCGGATAAACTGACAAACAGAGAGACAGCTAGACAGACAGAGAGACAGACAGACGGACACGACAAAAACTATATACCTTCGAAACTTCGTTTGCGGGGGCATAAAAATATTAGTTATATAGAAAATAGTGGTAAAATGTAAGTAAAGACCAAGTAATGTTATCACTTATATACACAAATTTAAGTAAATATAAATTACTAAGTAAAAACTTTTTAGTGTGTAAGTAAAACAATTCTTTAAAATACAAAAAACAAGTAAAACATTTGAATTTAGTAATTGACATATATTTCAGTAATTGATTTAAAATTTTAAGTAAATTCTTAGTAATTATCTATTACTTATCTTTGTTATCTCAAGTAAAAAATGACTACTAAGTAAAACTTTTTTAAGAGTGTACCAACTTCCTCCTCTAGGACCGTTGCTATGCCTTCTACAGCCCCGGATGTCAATTCTTCCATAGTAAAAGTCTCGTCTACGATTTTGGATAACTGATTTTTCTAAAAATAAGCTTGAACTTTTTATTTAGGGCTCCGTGGAACATATAATCCTTTGTCGAGTTAATCAGTCTACTAAGAATATCGAGTTTAAAAAAGAATACACATTCTAAGTATGTACCTGTTTACATTGTGTGTATCTGAAGACTTTCTGAAAGAATTTGGAAGCTGCACACAAGACCAGGCGATGGGCCTCTAGCTTATGGTTACCGTCCAGTATGAAGGTCACGTCCGTGTAGGAGGGGCTCTGTAAAGCTTTCATCCAATCAGAACTAAAGGTCGAGGTCATAATCTCCACCCAAGGGGCCTTCTCTGCAACATCAAACGATTACAATTTCCTTTTTAATTCAATTATGCTTCCAAATGGTATGAAAGGACAATCACATCCAAAATTTAAAACCTGTGCAGCGAAAAACTATAATTGTAGGTTACTGTACGTTATGTAAGATAGCATTACTAGAGAATTTGATCGAACGCTCGTGAGTACAAAGGGTGTCGATTCTGAAGACTTGGTGCTACTCACCGGCAGGGGGCATGACAGGTGCTATAGGGAGGGGCTTCTGTTTCTTCTTAAACACCCCTCCCACTATACCCCCCTTTGCCTTTACTTTTCTATATCCTCTATATTCCTGGTATCGTTTAATCTGTATAAAATATATAATTGATGACATATTCTCCATGCAGGATGAGTTGGATAACATCAGATGTGCATGAAAGAAGCTAAGAAGTAATAGAGAGACATACTGATGAGGAGAAACATTCTCCGAGCCCCGCCAGAGTAAGTGAGCTCGTCTCACAGAATGAGGCCCCGATCTTTTTGGCCATGTCTTTACCCTCCTCTGTCGTGATAAGGCGACTAGAGCCCCCTGATCTCAGATCTACAAGTATAAAATAAACTCATCATGTATGTAGACACAGTGCTAGCGTCTTAATTCAGTGTTTTATATGACCAAATAAGTAAAACATTTTAAGTTTGCATGTACTTCAAGCAATATTGCAACTCCAGACCAAGGAGTCTGTTATCCCATACTTTTTTTGTTTCAAAGGATTTATGATATTTATTCCTAATGGCAATGACATAATAAAATTTGTACTTATTAAATGTGCTATGTTATATCTATACATTATATATATTATATTTTTTATATTATAAATACATAAATAGTTGAATTCAGCTAATTTACGTTTTTTGCAGGCAATATCATATATCTTTACATAATGGTATAGTGATATCGTTTACCTATTTTACAGGCGACCAAGTGGATCGGAACATCAGGACAATGATGTCGGAGTTCGGGTATCCATTTCGCCTCTACATTTTCGAATGAGTCTCTGCTTTCTATACCATAACACAGGAGGAAGACGTCGGTCTGGGGGTACGACAGGGGACGTAACCTGTCATAATCCTCCTGGAAAACGTAGGCGATATACAGGTGAAGTCACACACAGGAACGAAACAAGGTTCCGTACTTTTAAATATTCATAACATGATTTACCAATTTATATACTAAGTATTAAGGTTACATTTTTAACAAAAGTTATAATGTTTCTCTGTATATATGATTCATAAATGGCAGGGGCGGATCCAGCCATTTTTGAAAGGAGGGGTTCCAGGGTTGTGCCCCTTTAACCCCCCCCCTTGCACACTCTCAAGCAAATCCACACACACGTATGGAAATCCAAGGTTGTGATAAATAATATCTATGTTTTAAGTTCCATTTTCCTTTGAAAAGGTAAGAATAAAATAAGAAACACACAAAAACTACTGAAGACTAAAACTTGAATGGATTTGCTGCATTTCCTTAGATTACAAAGAATTTTCTTCCAGAATTTGAAAAAACTTTTTCGGGGTGGGATGCGGTTTCGGTTTAAAATAAAGAGTTACATGTTAGTTCCTTCGAAAGATATGACACGGTACATTAGATAGCCAAGACATGCGGCTAAAAATTATATCAAATTAAATTTCGTATGTTAAGATATATAAAAATAAGTAGAATATTTTCTACCATTTTCATTAAAAAAAAGTAATGGTGAAGGTGAATGGAGGAAACTAAATGTTGAGAATATATCTATAATACATAAGTAAGACCTATAAATATTTATTCTCTGAAAATGTTTACCCCTCTCTCTCTCTCTCTCTCTCTCTCTCAACTTGGTAAAAAATAAAGGGGGGGTTCCAACCCCCGGAACCCCCCCCCCCCCCCTCTGGATCCGCCATTGAATGGAACCACTCCTCCAAATCCGGCTATGGTTTCTTTTGTCAAAGGTTTTCCTCCAACATAATTACATGTATAATGAACATTTCACTTTTATTATAATATTTTAGAGTCTATGAACAGAACTGACGCACCTGCCCGGCCGTGTCCCAGAGCCCTAGGCAGTAAGGCTTGCCGTCTACCATGACGTTAGCGGTGTAGTTGTCAAACACTGTGGGGATATACTCCGATGGGAAGGCGTTAGTGGTGTAGGCGATCAGCAGACAGGACTTGCCCACTGCATCGTCCCCCACCACGACTAGTTTCACGTTCTCCATGGCGGTATGGTCTACTAAAACGGGAAAGAACAGACACAGTTTACTGCCATTTCATGTTAAGGCTTCAAACGATTCATACACGATTAAAGGTTTTGTTAAACCGATATACCATATACAATGATAATTTTTTGTGTAAAAAGAGAAAGACTAAGGTGGTCCCAAAAAATTACGTCGATATATTTTTGACGCTTTATGGCGTTTTAAAATCACAGTATGTATTCTTCAGTTCTTGAGTGCCACAGTTTTATGTCAAAGGCAGCATTGCTAAAAGTTTATAACTGTTATTTCCCCCTATTTTAACTATTATTGCACTGTTAAGTGTTCAGCCAAAAACAAGAGTTTTATTAATAGACTTTTTATATTACAGAAAAGGGCCGCTAGAATTATCATGAAAGAAATTCAAACTCCTACTGTTGACATTTTTAGTGCTCTTAAATGGATGCCTGTACATGATTATTTTTTATATAGAAAACTTGTCCTTGCTTTTAAAGTTATGAAAAGTAGACGCCAGAATATTTGAATGTTTTTAGATACTAGTATATTAGCCAAGTTAGTTCAAGGGCAACAAGGATTAGTGTTAGTGGCCTTTTGTATATCCCAAAAAGCACGAACTGAGTATTATAAACGAACTTTTAAAGTTTCAACTGCAATTTTATGGAACCAGTTGCCTGACATTGTCAGAAACTGTAATTCTTTAGCTTTTTTAAGGTTCATAAACCCTCTGCTCACTCGTATGAAATATTGCCAGAATCTTCATGATTTTCCAAAAGAAATGTATTTTATGAGTAAAAAAAAAACAATTTTAGCATAGTTTGCAGGGCAAAATTGGACAAAAAAGACATTTCAACTTAGCAAATCTATAAAGGAAAGGATGACGGTTCATTTTGTCGTGAACTGGCAAGAATCTGATCAAGAAAATCGCTATTGTTATGTCAAAATACCTTATTTGACGCCAAACTACGGTGCAAAAATTGCATTTATTAAAACTAACAGTTTATTAGTGTAATTTGTGACAAGTAATCGGGAAAATTATGTTGATATAAAAAATATTTTATTTTTAATGCATATTTATCAGATGCATGAACCGCAGCACTTCATTCCAACGCGCTCTGTGATACATTCCAGGCGTGAAGTGTTGTAGTTCATGTCCTCACGAATCTTTTAGTATCAAATCCATTTCTTAAATACCGTTTCTTATGCTTAAAGGTAAGTCCGTACTTTCAAAAATTTCTGTGAAACATATGGGTTTAACGAACAGCATTCAATATTAAAAGTCCATGAAACAATACAAAATAAGAACAGAGCAAACCGAGACCTACAAAACATCAGAGGTGGGGTCAGGTGCCATGGAGGAGTGAGCATCCCCTGCCAACCAGTCACACCCGCCGTGTGCTAATAGTCATCATCAGAAATAACGGAAAAATCCGTTGTCAATCATGTGTATAAATGATGGACTAACAATTAGTACAAAAAACGTACGTCGGCATTTGACTCAATGTTAAATTGTATTTACTGACAAGGTCAATGTATCGACCATAGAACTTTCGAAATATCAAACTTATATTTTTTATTTGAATACCTTAAAAACTCATAAAGTAACTAAAACACCAATAAAACATCTTTTCAGGTTAATGTTCATACAATTTGTCTCAGAGTAGTTAAACTGAACAGCGAATATTGAACATATAGAAGTCTAATATCATATTTTACATAAATATTTTGAATAATTGTGTAATAGTACCTGTGTACCACCTGTTCACCTATGCATATAAAGTAATGTTATATGTGGCAATAAATGTAGTGTATACGCTAATAAAGGTATTTATAATTTATTTTGCTATCCACTAAGCCACATCAAGTTTATGTTAAATCTTGTAAAATTCAAAAATTTTCATTTTCCAGGAGAATATTTAAAATTTTCACATGTAAAATCGATTTTGAATCTGTCCATCTATCAGAAAAAAAATCTCAAAATTTCTTTATTTTCAAAACATCTTAAATTCTAAACTGTTTATGTGCTACTTACTCTTTAAAATTATTAAGAATTATATTTAAAGTTAACAAAATCACAAACTTTATTATTGTTGACCGATAAATTTGATAAAACAGCGTTTAGAAATATTTTTAGCACTATTTTTGGAATAATAAGTTTTTCAATCTTTCTTTGTAAAAGTTTTAAAAAGTAAAATTTAAAAATGTAATATATGCTTATAATCAATAAATTTTTATCTCAAGTTAGCTAATTTAAAAAAAATATTAAAAAAAATTAAAAACATCGGGTCGTTAAGGTCTTTGAACATTTTGTGTCTGTATACATACTTAATGACACATAGTTCTTCTGAACATAGTTGAAAGCATTAAAATATCTATAAAAACTAATAACAAATTCAAATACCTACAGATAAGTTGAAGTTACAGGAATTTCAGTAAGTTGCAAAAACAAGAATACTAGTATCAGCAAATTCTATGGTCGATACAATGTCCTTGTCAGCATAAAGATGGTCAAAATATTGTAGTACATATTTTTTTGCTTCATTCCCTGGATACAAAAATTATATGGTATGACATGTAACATGTATGTAAATTGATTCCCCTACAACCACTTCGTGAATAACGACCTTTTATTGAACTCTAGATCTGCGATAAGGACTCTTAATTATTATTATTAGCTTAGAAACAGATGTGCTGATTGATAACAATACATTCCACATGCTGGTTCTCTACAAAGAAATTAGATATATAACTTGTAATGGGTACAAATGTGATCTCAGAACAAGCAACTGATACGCTGGTTTCCTTTTTCTCTCAGGTTTTAATAATTTTATAAGTATAAATAAATGTTTCTATTTCACACATGGTTATTCAGTTGGACATTCGAGGTTGTTTCATCCAAAGTATTTCTGGTAAGTTGTTAATTTTTCTTTTTATCACCAAAGTCCTGCTGGACGCGTTTCGTAAGGTGACGTAAATATAGTTAGTACTGAGGACATTAGATCACTAATTTAGAAAGGTCCTAAATATAGGGAACTCCGATCCTTCAACTGGCGTCAGAATTTCATTAATATTATGGATTCTATAGAAGATTACTCCATACCCCCGGTGTCATGATTTGGACAATTTAAAATCTATACTATACACGATGCTTTCGCATAAGTTTCAGCTTTCACATAACGTTAAACTTTACTGGCTTAGTATTTATTGTGAAGAAGATTTTTAAAGATATTTCCTATATAGTTGGATGTTTGAAAACAAATTGTTGCCACGTCCTTCCCCCAGGGGTCATGATTTAAACGATCAATATTTGCATTTACCCAGTTCTTCCACAGCGTTTCAGCTTTTCTGGCCCAGTGGATCTTGAGAAGATTTTAAAAGTTTTTTTCCTATATATTTCTATTTAATTTTCTGATTCCCTTTTGTGGCACTGCCAAACCCTCAGGGGTCATGATTTGTATAATTTAGAATATACACTTCCCAAGGTTGATTCCACATAAATTTCAGCTTTTCTGGCCCAGTGGTTCTTAAGAAGAAGATTTTTCAGTTTTTTTCCTATATATTTTTATGTAAAAATAAAATTAACATCTATCCTGGATGCTTTTAAAAACCCACCTATTTTTGTCTTTTCTTGATTATTTTTAACTCCCCTTTATCCAAAGACTTTTTGTACAAATTTTGGTTCAGTGTTTCTTAAGAAGAAGTCAAAAATTTGAAAAGTTTACTGACGGATAGACAGCTAGACGGACGGACAGACGACGGACAAAATATGATCAGAAAAACTCAACTGATCTCACTTGAGACTTCGGCTAATTAGGTCCTTAAGGCCATTGAGAATTTTGTGTCTGTTTATGTACCTAATGTCATATAAATCCTATGAACAGGGTGCAAAGTGTTAAAATATCCATAAAAGAATATTAAATGCTTTGTATGCACAACGATATTATAGATAACAAACTATTACTTGCTATATTATTATCAACAATTCAAATATATTTTATTTCAATAGACAAGTGATAATCAGAATTTTATATTGGTGTGTAAAATCAAAACCGGATCCGTAAAAGTATGGACCTTCTTTAAATCTTTTATATTTAAAATGTTGTTATTATCCATTACAGTGGAGCATCATTTATCCGGACGCTTTGGTTCCTAGTCAATTTGCCTGGATATGTGAAGTGTCCGGAAACCTGAATTACCAGTTAAACAAGACAAAATAATGTCAAAAATTCTGATCCGATCAACAATCGTCCGGATACTGAAGCGTCCGGATATCTGAAGGTCCACTCCTTTATATTCTTATTCTGAGAATTTCTTACCCTCTAATTTTTTTCAATGAAATTGAGATGGGAGAAATCGAATAACAATGAAATATAAAATACCTGTAAATACAATATCATCCCTTTTCTTTTAGAATAATTTTGTGTCTTCTTTGCAGATTTGCATTGTACAATGGTTCTTTTGAGAGAGAATATTATCCATACATACATTTTCACAAAATTAATAGAATATTAATCAAACAACTTAAATGTCAATAATGAACTCGGTTTGTAAGAAAAAAAATGCTATGACGTGTTACATCATAATTTATTTGAACTCGAACCTATAAACATCAAGGCATCATATAAAGATATTATGTAAACGAAGGAATTGTTAAATTATTTCCTTCAAGTTTGATCAAATTTAAACAGAGACATGATACTTACAGGATTTTTAACAACCTTGTTTAAATTCAGCAAATTGTATGGCCGTTGTCAATGACAAGTAAAATGTATTGTGTCATATTTTTGCTAACTTGTTTTATTCCAGTTCTTAAGGCTTTGTTCTTATACTGAGTTTGACCACGGAATGCTCTGTTCAACTGATTAGTGAATAGGCGGGCATTTCCGGTAAGAAGGGGACGCTTACTACTTCTATGAGCCTGATCCAATGCCAGAAAATTCAAGGGGCCGTGATTTATATCAAGTAAAAAACTTATTATTTTTTAAGGGGGTCGGCTGTAGCTTTCATTTCGCAATATTTCGCGCATCATAGTAAAATGAAGCGTGTTTACTGATTTAAACTATTTTGCTTGATTACTAAAATTTAACAAAATTTAGAAATTGTAGGTTTAAAAATGTAATTACAATTTTACATTTTATATTAACTGATTTTTTAACCGATTC